CACATTGCTCCCCTGTCCACTCTATCATATGCCTTTTCTAAATCCATAAATGCAATGAAAACTTCCCTACCTTTATCTAAATACTGTTCACATATATGCTTCAATGTAAATACTTGAGCTACATCCCCTATTCACTCTAAAGCCTCCTTTACTCATCTGCAATCCTGCTCTCTGTCTAACCTCTAATTCGTTCAGTAATAACCTTACCGGACACTGTACCTTGTATACTCAGTAACCTTATTCCCCTATAACTTTTACAGTCTCTTTTGTCCCCTTTATATAAAGAAACTATGCATGCTGTCTGCCAGTCCTTAGGTACCTTCACCTCTTTCATACATTTATTAAACAAAAATACCAATCACTCCAACACTATTCCGCCCCTGCTTTTAACATTTCTGTCATTATCCCATCAGTTCCAGCTGCTTTACCCCCTTTCATTCTATGTAATGCCTCACACACCTCCCCCACACTCCCATCCTGCTCTACCTCACTCCTAAAAGATGTTATACCTCCCTGGCCAGTGCACGAAATTACTGCCTACCCCCTTTCTTCATCGACATTTAAAAGTTCCTCAAAATATTCCTGCCATTTACCCAATGCCTCGAGTTCCCCATCTGTTAACTCCCCTACTCTGTTTTTAATTGATAAATCCATTCGTTCCCCAAGCTTTCTTAGCTTGTTTATCTCGCTTCAGAATTTTTTCTTATTCTCTGCAAAATTTCTTGACAGTGCCTCTCCCACTCTATCATTTGCTCTCCTTTTGCACTTTCGCCACTCTCTTCACCTTTCTTTTATTCTCCATACACTCTGCCCTTCTTTTATTACTTCTGCTTTGTAAAAACCTCTCATAAGCTACCTTTTTCTCTTTAATCACGCCCTTTACTTCATTCCACCAATCACTCCTCTTTCCTATTGCATTCACCCTCCTATAGCCACAAACTTCTGCCCTACATTTTAATGTTGCATTTTTAAAACTATCCCATCCCTCTTCAACTCCCCACTACCCATTGCACTAGCCCACCTTTCTGCCAATAGTTGCTTATATCTCGCCTTAACTTCCTCCTCCCTCAGTTTATAAACTTTTACCTCTCTCTTACTTTCTGTTGCCCTTTTCCTTTTGTCCCATCTACCCCTTAGTCTAACTGTAGCTACAACTAAATACGTAATGATCCGATAAATCCGTTGCCCCTCTATTGACATGTACAGCCTGAAGCCTACACATCAACCTCCTTTTATCCACCAATACATAATCTGACAAACTACTTTCATTATGTGCTATATCATACCTTGTATACTTATTTATCCTCTTTTTCATATTATTATTATTATTATAATCAAAAAGAAGCGCTAAGCCATCTCTTTTTCATAAAATATGGAGATGTCATGTCTGAGGGCAATGTGTGGTGTGAATATAATGCAGAGAATTCGTAGTTTGGAAGTTAGGAGGAGGTGCGGGATTACCAAAACTGTTCTCCAGAGGGCTGAGGAAGGGTTGTTGAGGTGGTTCGGACATGTAGAGAGAATGGAGCGAAACAGAATGACTTCAAGAGTGTATCAGTCTGTAGTGGAAGGAAGGCGGGGTAGGGGTCGGCCTAGGAAAGGTTGGAGGGAGGGGGTAAAGGAGGTTTTGTGTGCGAGGGGCTTGGATTTCCAGCAGGCATGCGCGAGCGTGTTTGATAGGAGTGAATGGAGACAAATGGTTTTTAATACTTGACGTGCTGTTGGAGTGTGAGCAAAGTAACATTTATGAAAGGATTCAGGGAAACCGGCAGGCCGGACTTGAGTCCTGGAGATGGGAAGTACAGTGCCTGCACTCTGAAGGAGGGGTGTTAATGTTGCAGTTTAAAAACTGTAGTGTAAAGCACCCTTCTGGCAAGACAGTGATGGAGTGAATGATGGTGAAAGTTTTTCTTTTTCGGGCCACCCTGCCTTGGTGGGAATCGGCCAGTGTGATAATAAAAAAAAAATATGTATTACTTATTACCAAACCTCTTTCTTCACATAGTTCAATTAAGGCTCCCCACTTTCATTTACTCCTGGCACCCCATATTTACCTACTACTCCCTCCACAACATTTTTACCCACTTTAGCATTGAGATCCCCAACCGCAAGTACTTTCTTACTTGGTTCAAAACTCCCCATGCACTCAACATTTTCCAAAATCTCTTTCTCTCTCCTCTACACTTCTGTCTTCTCCAGGTGCATAAACACTTACTATGACCCACTTTTCACATCCAACCCTTATTTTACTCCACATAATCCGTGAATTTATACATTTATATTCCCTCTTTTCCTGCCATAACTTATCCTTCAACATTATTGCTACTCCTTCTTTAGCTCTGTTTGAAACCCCTGACCTAATACCATTTATTTCTCCCCACTGAAACTCGCCCACTTATTTATCCTCTTTCTCATAAAATATGTATCACTTATTACCAAACCTCTTCCTATTTTCATTTACCCCTGGCACCCCAAATTTAACTACTACTCCCTCCACAACATTTTTACCCACTTAGCATTGAAATCCCCAACCACAGTTACTCTCACACTTGGTTCAAAACTCCCCATGCACTCACTCATCGTTTCCTAAAATCTCTCTCTCTCTCCTCTACATTTCTCTCTTCTCCAGGTGCATAAATGCTTACTATAACCCACTTTTCACATACATCCCTTATTTTACTCCACATAATCCTTGAATTAATACATTTATATTCCCTCTTTTCCTGCCATAACTTATCCTTCAACATTATTGCTACTCCTTCTTTAGCTCTAACTCTGTTTGAAACCCCTGACCTAATCCCATTTATTTCTCCCCTCTGAAACTCTCCCACCCCCTTCAGCTTTGTTTCACTTAAAGCCAGGACATCCAGCTTCTTATCATTCGCACAACATCCACGCACATTCAAACATCCCACTTTGACGGTTTTATTTTTATTTTTAGTAAGCTATATGGCAGTTCCTGGCATTTTAGTTGACTTACAACACGCATGGCTTACAGAGGAAAGATTCTTATTTTGCTTCTCCATTGATATGAAAGGAAAAGCAGTAAGAACAAGAACTATTAAGATAAAATCAAAAAACTCAGATGAGTGTGTATACAAAAACGTGTACAGGCATGTGTAGTGTAACCTAAGTGTAAGTAGAAGTAGCAAGACATACCTGAAATCTTGCATGTTTTGAGACAGAAAAAAGGCACCAGCAATCCTATCATCATGTAAAACAAATACACTCACTTGGTAGGACGGTAGTACCTCCCTGAGTGGTTGCTGTCTGCCAACCTAGTACCTAAATATATTACATAATAATTATGAAATACACGTATTACCAGTACAGTGGACCCCCGGTTTACAATATTTTTTCATTCCAGAAGTATGTTCAGGTGCCAGTACTGACTGAATTTGTTCCCATAAGGAATATTGTGAATTAGATTAGTCCACTTCAGACCCCCAAACATACACGTACAAACACGCTTACATAAATACACTTACATAATTGGTCGCATTGGGAGGTGATCGTAAAGCGGGGGTCCACTGTACTGTACTTTGTAGTTAAAAATGCTATTGTATATTATTTTATTATTATTATCACACCGGCCGATTCCCACCAAGGCAGGGTGGCCCGAAAAAGAAAAACTTTCACCATCATTCACTCCATCACTGTCTTGCCAGAAGGGTGCTTTACACTACAGTTTTTAAACTGCAACATTAACACCCCTCCTTCAGAGTGCAGGCACTGTACTTCCCATCTCCAGGACTCAAGTCCGGCCTGCCGGTTTCCCTGAATCCCTTCATAAATGTTACTTTGCTCACACTCCAACAGCACGTCAAGTATTAAAAACCATTTGTCTCCATTCACTCCTATCAAACACGCTCACGCATGCCTGCTGGAAGTCCAAGCCCCTCGCACACAAAACCTCCTTTACCCCCTCCCTCCAACCCTTCCTAGGCCGACCCCTACCCCGCCTTCCTTCCACTACAGACTGATACACTCTTGAAGTCATTCTGTTTCGCTCCATTCTCTCTACATGTCCGAACCACCTCAACAACCCTTCCTCAGCCCTCTGGACAACAGTTTTGGTAATCCCGCACCTCCTCCTAACTTCCAACTACGAATTCTCTGCATTATATTCACACCACACATTGCCCTCAGACATGACATCTCCACTGCCTCCAGCCTTCTCCTCGCTGCAACATTCATCACCCACGCTTCACACCCATATAAGAGCGTTGGTAAAACTATACTCTCATACATTCCCCTCTTTGCCTCCAAGGACAAAGTTCTTTGTCTCCACAGACTCCTAAGTGCACCACTCACTCTTTTTCCCTCATCAATTCTATGATTCACCTCATCTTTCATAGACCCATCCGCTGACACGTCCACTCCCAAATATCTGAATACGTTCACCTCCTCCATACTCTCTCCCTCCAATCTGATATTCAATCTTTCATCACCTAATCTTTTTGTTATCCTCATAACCTTACTCTTTCCTGTATTCACCTTTAATTTTCTTCTTTTGCACACCCTACCAAATTCATCCACCAATCTCTGCAACTTCTCTTCAGAATCTCCCAAGAGCACAGTGTCATCGGCAAAGAGCAGCTGTGACAACTCCCACTTTGTGTGTGATTCTTTATCTTTTAACTCCACGCCTCTTGCCAAGACCCTCGCATTTACTTCTCTTACAACCCCATCTATAAATATATTAAACAACCACGGTGACATCACACATCCTTGTCTAAGGCCTACTTTTACTGGGAAAAAATTTCCCTCTTTCCTACATACTCTATTGTATATAGAAAAATTAAACAAATGTTTGACAGAAAATTTTTAATTGTTATACAAATTGAATTGGAATAAGAATGCTTACCTTATAATGGTCACTTGAGAAAGTGAATTAATCTACAAATATTCTGGGATATACTGTACACCACATGTCTATCTGAAATTTATCATTATTATTCAATCATTTACATATTGCTGATTTTTTTTTTTTGTTTCAGGTATACCCAGACTGTCTGTATAATTTAGGCAATCTTTACTTAGAGAAAGGTGATCACACTGCTGCTCTTGCTACCTGGACTAATGCCACCTCTCTGAAACCTTCCCTTGCTGTGGCCTGGACAAACATGCTCATTCTCTTGGACTCTCAGGGATTATATCAGCCAGCCATTGAAGTTGCAGATAAAGCATTAAGGTTCATTTCTCAGGTTTATTTTAATACAAGTAGATCTTCTAAAGACTCATCAATAAGGGCTGCTTTTCATGATTTTTATTGATTTTTTTTATCTGCAGTATATGAATACCATTTGATTTTGAATTATGACATTTAGTTTCTTAAGCAGTCTGCTTCATGAAGAATTCACTGCATAAATTTCTCTCTTCACTTTATTACTAACTACTGTAGATATATAAAAGACATCCTTGAGAGCTCTGGAAGTTGGAGTCACTAGGTCAGAGTACAAAAGTAATATAATAGACCTTTCACGAATACATTATCATACCTCCACAAGTACGTGTATTATTTCTGATTTAGCTCATCCTTCAATTTTTTTTAATATCTCTGAGAAAATACACACTCAAAATGGAAAGGTATGCCATACTTAATGGGTTTTTTTAATTGTTGAATATTGTGGATTGTATTATGTTTTTGGTTTTCCACATTTTACCAAATAATTTGCTGTAGAAAATGTTATCAAATTCACTTATGAGCAGTGTTCAAACAAAACTGAATCTCTGATTTGTGGGTTAGGTTCGAAGTCTTTTTGCAATAGTGAATGAAAGGAAGAAGTATCGTGGGTCTTGTTTTCATAACTTGTCGCCAACTTATCCAAATTGCATATTCTCTGTTTTTATTAATGTAATCCTCATTAAAGTTATGGTAGTTTATTTGTTACTGAGCATTCCATGAAGAATGAGAAAGAAAATTGATCATATTCCAGCAATTTAATGTGTTACTTTTTTTTTTTTTAACTTAGACACCTTCCAAATGAGCCAGCACTTCACTTCAACCTAGCCAACACCCTGGGAAAGCTCAATCGATATGAAGAATCTGAATCACACTTCCTTCAAGCCACAAACCTTGATCCAAGCAATGCCAACTATTGGGCTAATCTCGGTGTCTTGTATCATCGCTGGCGTAAGTATGAACAAGCTGAAAAATCCTACATCCATGCACTGAGGCTTAATCCAATGTTGAAAAGTGCACAGGATAACCTGAGTATGCTTCTCAAGGCCACAGGAAAGATATCTAGATAACAAGATAAATGAACATGACAAGTAAACTAAATGCCATAGACAATTAATGTGGCTTTGTGAAAGTGAAATTACTTTCCTTAGGAGTGAGTTGCTCTGAAACTCTTACCTGCCATAAATGTTGTGAAACATCCACTGCATTAAGAGCAAGAATACTTTTGACAGGTTATTATTGAAGAGGTCTATTGTATTTCTTTTCTAGAAGCTTGAATTCAGTAAAATTTTAACTTGTACTGCTATGATACATGAAAATTATAGGTTTGTACATCTTGTATTTGCATTGATCAGTTTTCATCAAATTTAAAAAAAAAAAATACTATTAACTGGCCCAACCACAATGATTTCATAACATGGTATTTTCTACACTGAATAATAAATATACATGTATATTCCACTGTACATCTATGTATATATCAGTGCACAGGAAAAAAATATAAATTTCTGAAACACCATATACAATTTTCATATACACAAGCTGTCTTCATCACTTTTTTCAAAGTCTTCACTTTTGTTAACTATTTTATGAGAAAAATGTTGGTCAGTTATCATAAAGGAATTGTCTAGGTTATCATAAGCTCTTATTTATCTATCTCCAAATAACTGCTACTTAAACCTGAAAATATGAAGATAAATTAATTCACCTTATTATAAACTTGCTCTTCATACATAAATGCAACTTATCAGTTTTCTTTTTCTTCAGATTTTCACCTTCCAGTATCTTTACTCAGACTTTCAGATTTATAATTTTTAGATCTTTTTCTGTGAACTTTTATAATGTATATTAACTAATATTCTACTAATAATTTTAATCCATCATTGTTTAGAAAATTATTTATTTTAAAACAATAATTTTATATGTACACACTTTTTAAAAATACCAAATTATACACTGCATCTCTCAGTCTTATTCCTCTCATTATAAGATTCAAAATTACATGTGGCTTTGCCAAAACATTGTGTTAAAATTTAGATTAGAGCGTGTGCCTTTGTGGAATATGCAGAATATTCATTTTCAAAAGGAAATAAGATCACCACTTGCTTCAAACTACTGGTCAACCAGGATTGATGGCTATGTAAACTTATAGACACAAGGTAGTATTAAAGGAAAATATGCTTAGATAACTGGTGATATATGCTGATTCCATGCATGGTGGTAATGATAAGTATGAAAAAACCAGTAGGACTAGGAGCCAGCTGTACCAATGAAATGTAGATTGAGGAAGACTTGGGAGCTGAAGGTCAAGCCTCAGAAACATAGCTAGGTAAATGCACACACACAAAAAAACATATCAGTATCTTCTCTCTCCTGTTTTCTCTTTTTCATGTTAAGGGTTCTACAGGACTTAGGCTTTTAGGCTATTATTATTCTAGTTATTTTACAAGCTAAGATCTGTTATCCTACCTCTGATCATTTCAATACCTGGCCCTAGCATGATTATTTATTGCTGAATTAATATGTGGGTTTACATGTATACAGCAGAACCTCTACTTGTGAGTTTAATCCGTTCCATGACCTTTCTCGCAACTGGATTTGCTCGTTTGCAGAGTCAATTTCCTTCTTTTAAATTAATTGAAATGCAATTAATCCATTCCAGCGGAATTCTGTACTTCAATAATTTCGCTAATATCAACTCTACGGCTTATTTATCTATCTCACTTCATCTAATGTGACATATTAAACAATGTAAATAACATAGAAACCTGATATATACTCTAAAATGAATAAAATATGTCATTCATGTAGTGGTACGGGCGGTGTCGGCGGTGGACGAGAGTTTGTCTGGAGACAGGGCAAAATACTTCATGAATAATTTCGCTAATATCATCTATACGGCTTATTTATCTATCACAGTTCATTTCATATGACATAACAAACAATATAAATAACATAGAAACCTGATATATACTCTAAAATGAATAAAATATGTCATTCATGTAGTGGTACGGGCGGTGTCGGCGGTGGACGAGAGTTTGTCTGGAGACCGGGCAAAATACTTCACGAATAATTTTGCTGATATCATCTATACGGCTTATTTATCTATCACAGTTCATCTCATATGACATAACAAACAATATAAATAACATAGAAACATGATATATACTCTAGAATGAATAAAATATATCATTATGTAACAGGTGGAGGCGGCCACAGCCGCTCCCTCTTTGTTGTGGTAAACACTGCCATCTAGTGACGGCCTTTTGAAGCCATCTATTATTATAATTATTATATGTAGTACATTATTATATGTGTATTATTATTATACATATTATATTATTATTTATATAATAATAATAGTATAAGACAATAATAATAATTTGTAATTTTATTCACACAAAAAATATGATTTACTGTTATTCCTTATTGCAATACAGTAATTCTAAAAATAATGTCAACCTATTCACGACTGCATATTGGAATGAAACAGCCAGGCAATGGACCATTTCTCCTAGATTGAGCTCAATTTCAAGGCACTTTTCGTCGTGAAAGCAATCAAAATCATATCTATTTCTGTAATATATATTCCATTCTATCAAATGAGACCAAAAAAACGAGAATACAACCATAAAAACCATTCGAAATTACCGCTAAGGGGTGGCTAATTGCTGAGAAGTGAACTCCATTACTTATGCTTAGATTTCTTTAATTTTTGGTGTAGGTTAAGAAGCATCCTTCCATCATACATTACCCAAGTTTCAATAAGATACTCCAACAAACAAATGAGATACAATTCCCGAGATCAAGAGCAAGAGCCCCTCGCCAGTGTCAAGGAACATGCCTTGAGGTCTGCTCACATATGGAAGCAAAAAATCGACCCATTGACTGCTCGTATTTGGAAAAACTCGCAAGTGGACACGCTCGCAAGTAGAGGTTCCACTGTACAGTGGTCCCTCGATAATCGTAAGACTCGATAGTCGTAATTTTCGAAAATCGTAACGTTTTCGTCAAAACATTGGCTCGCTAATCGTAGTTTGACTCGCGAATAGTCATTCGTCTGGGACGCGTACGCGCGGCTCTGAGCCATTCCCAGCCAGTGTGCCATTCTTTACCAGTGAGCGACAGTCCCCTCACTTGCTCATACGAAATATTTCATAATATTCCATTCATTTTAGTGCTTGCAACTACTAAATAAGCTACCATGGTTCCAAAGAAAGCTCCTAGTGCCAAGCCTTTGGTAAAAAAGGTGAGAAATATGATTAAATTTAAGAAAAACATCGTTGAACAATATGAAAGTGGCGTACATGTGGCCGAACTGGCCAGGATGTATAACAAACCCCATACAACCATAGCTTTCATCATGGCCAAGAAAAAGGAAATCAAGGAAGCTGTTGTTGCAAAGGGGGTAAATATGCTGACAAAAATGAGATCACCAGTACTCGAAGATGTTGAGAAGTTATTATTTGTGTGGATAAACGAGAAACAATTAGCAGGAGATAGTCTTATGATGTCGATTATTTGTGAAAAGGCTAGGCAGTTGCACGACGATCTGGTAAAGAAATTGCCTGCAACGAGTACTGATATTTGTGAATTTAAGGCCAGCAAAGGTTGGTTTGAGAGATTTAAGAACCGTAGTGGCATACACACTGTGGTAAGGCATGGTGAGGCTGCCAGTTCAGACAAAATTGCAGCTACAAAATTTGTAAGTGAATTCAAGGAGTACATAGAGGCTGAAGGACTGAAACCTGAACAAGTGTTCAATTGTGACGAAACAGGTCTCTTTTGGAAGAAAATGCCAAAGAGAACCTACATTACTCAGGAGGAAAAGGGACTCCCAGGACACAAGCCTATGAAAGACAGGCTGACGCTCATATTCTGTGCTAATGCTAGTGGGGATTTCAGAGTGAAGCCGTTACTAGTGTACCATTTTGAAAATCCCAGAGTGTTCAGGAAAAACAATGTTATGAAGAGTAAATTGTGTGTTTTGGAAATCTAATAGTAAGGCATGGGTCACGAGGGAAATTTTCATCGAGTGGTTCAATGAAGTGTTTGACCCTAGTGTGAAGAATTACCTCCTGGAAAAGAAATTGGATCTCAAGTGCCTCCTAGTAATGGACAATGAACCTGCTCATCCTCCAAACTTGGATGACCTAATTTTGGAGGAGTTTGGGTTCATCACAGTAAAGTTCTTGCCCCCGAATACCATTCCTCTCCTCCAGCCCATGGACCAGCAGGTCATTTTAAACTTTAAAAAACTCTACACATAAGAACATAAGAACATAAGAACGAAGGAACACTGCAGAAGGCCTACTGGCCCATGCGAGGCAGGTCCAAGTCTCCTACCGGCTTAAGCCAATGCACCCGACCTAGTCAGGTCAGGTCACATTGACTTAAGGGAGGAACACGGCAACCGACCTGGTAGCACAAGCTATCAGGTCTAACTCACACCCACCCACATCCACTCATGTATTTATCCAACCTATTTTTAAAGCTACACAACGTTCTGGCCTCTATAACGGTACTTGGGAGTTTGTTCCACTCATCCACAACTCTATTACCAAACCAGTACTTTCCTATATCCTTCCTGAATCTGAATTTTTCCAACTTAAAAACCATTGCTGCGAGTCCTCTCTAGGCTAGATATTTTCAGCACACTATTACATCCCCTTTATTTATTCCTGTCTTCCATTTATACACCTCAATCATATCCCCCCTAATTCTACGTCTTTCTAGAGAGTGCAGATTCAGGGCCCTTAGTCTATCCTCATAGGGAAGGTTTCTGATACATGGGATCAACTTTGTCATCCTCCTTTGTACATTTTCCAGAGAATTTATATCCATTCTGTAATAAGGTGACCAAAACTGTGCAGCATAATCTAAATGAGGCCTAACCAAGGATGTATAGAGTTGAAGAACAACCTGAGGACTCCTATTATTTATGCTTCTTG